AGATTTCACCTTCATCAGCCCAGTTTTGTCTCATCTTACTCTACAAGAGATCTGACAAAGTAGCTATTCATAAGACTGTGTCACCTCAAATTTGGTCCAAATTCAGGTTTGTAGAAACAACGCCTGCCAGACAGATTAAGGAGACTATCACAATATCAACCATGCAACTGATGTATGGATCCAGCTATAATTACGAGGAACAGTCAGACTTATTTTCATACTTTACTCATTACTTAGCACTATTCTGTGAACAACCAACATGGAAACAGTCCAACAGGACTATACCCTGATCTTTGAATGATCAGTATAACTTTCAAAATATCCTTTGCTGTTGTTAAAGTGAATTAATCTTTTATGAAAGACGAATGGTTTATTAAGACAGAGGTTAGGTCAAGAATCTTCCAACACAGACCACTTCCCTTTCAATCAACAGTATATTCAATATAACAAGGATGTGAAGCATGGACGCACTTATAAAAACTCATTCTTTAAAATGTCCCACTCATACGAGTCCCACAGTTTACACCTGACCTTGCTCCCTCAGCAGATCCTGACCTCAATTACTAAACAGCAGATGATGTTATAAATTAACATCTTAGACTGTGGTACATCAATTTCTGCATTAGTAGAGTGGTAAAGTGTGAGCTGTGGTGTTGTTTCCCCTAGACTACTGCTGTTATGACAGGAGCAGGGGAGGGTGGATAAATGCAGGCTGTGGACATAGATACCTGCTGCTGGGAAGTTGTAACAGGACACACAGAAGACAGACCAGTGACTGTGGAAATGTTCAAATGAGTTTCTGGTTCTGTTCCCCTGACAAGAGCTATACCAACTTCTGTTTATGGCAGTCAACCTAAATATACAACCAGACATCCTGAAACAAATGCAAAATGAAATACAATTCTCTATTTTTTGTTTCTTTAGGAAAGAAATATTCTAAAGGCAGACAATGAAGGTTTGAAGATCCAACTGGAACAGGCACATAAAAAAATTGAATCTCTCACAATCCAGAGAAGAAACCATGTAGTTGACAGTCTACAACACAGAGACTGCTCCTAGCAGATGAAAATCTGCAGAAGAATGTAAGACTGAAGGAGGGGCTATGATAAAGCTGCTTTACCAAGTGAACTGGAGAGAGAGCCTGAAGGATGTTAAGCAGAAATGTTCTCTTCACTCAACACATTTCCCTATTAAACATACATTCCTAAACACAAAAATCCATTCCTTTGACTTTTTAAGGTAATTTAGCATTATTTGTGCAATGAAAATAGTACCTTCTGGGTTTGCTTTTAAAAGGAGTGCGAGTGTTGCTGAAGTCCCTGTTCATGTTGAAGACCACATGGATTCCCCAGTGACTTGGCTGCCAGCAGCACACCTTAAGTCTACAAGTGTTCTGACAAAGTAGCTGTTCATAAGACTGTGTCACCTCAAATTTAGCCCAAAATCAGTTTTGTAGAAAATAAATGTTCCATAAAGCTGAGGAAGTAAAGCTGTAGAAATACTACATTAAGAGAAACAGTTCCTTCTCACCGGGGCTGAAACCAATTAAAATCATGAACTGTCACCTTTATTTCCAAAGCTTAACAAGAACATTAAAATAAGTAGTTAAGCTATTGATATTTGATTGAGTCTTAAACTTTAAGATAAACTGACAATTTTTTTAAACCTCTTTCAGAGCTTTAGAAGTTCTGCTGCTCAAACACTTACCTTTATTAAGGTAAAATAACTGAGACTAGAGACTCAACATTGAATACTGCTTCCATTTTTGCATTCCGTGCCATGACTTGGAACACTTAGTCCTACTTATTTGGCTTAAGGGATAAGTTCTTGTCCCCATACAGTTGATATGGGACAAGGCTGATTATTTTTCTCTCACGTCAAAGTGGATGCCATGGTTGAGTAGAACCTTTAGAGCCATAATACGAGTGAAACTGTAGAGTAATCCCAGTGCAACAGCTACTGTATTCCAGAGCTCCTAGCAAGGTTTCTCCATTTTCTCTCTCCTAGATTTCACATGCACTTTACATAGAGTCAAGATGAAGCGTGCTCTTATGTCTGTAAATTTTGTATAGTAAAAGGTGTGAGGGAAGTAATTTAAAGATGCAAAGTGTACATATTGTTAAGAAACAACAAAAGTGTCTTTCAAGTTACTGATAAATCTACTTGTCAGAACAGCCAAATTTAAAATTGCATTTGCATTTCAAGAGAATCTGTACACTTACAGTTGTATAAAACTTGCTTGCATTTATCAGAGATTTGTCATCACACGTATAAGCATCAGAAACAAAGTCCACTTAATGCTCCTCAAAACTCCTGTTACCAAGTCCTTCATAGATTAAAATTTAGTCAACCTATAACAATAGCATGTGTGCTTTGTGTTCAAATGTATAATATGTATAAATATACATTCCATTCACAATTTACAGTCACAATTAAGTACATGAATGCTGCATTTATAAAGAAAGTTAATTTGAAACTACCTGCCAGTTTAGTGATTCTTGATCTGAAGAGATTGGATTGTGCTTGCAACTCCATGTATAAGTAAAAACAAATGGATGGAAAGAGTAGTAGTAGTAGATTTTCTGTTACATTACTGTAAATAACTGAAATGCATAGGAAAAAACCCAGAAGTTCTGAAGATTTTGCAGCTTTTTTCTTTCCTCATACACTAAACCTGAACTATTAACAGTAACATGGAATTGCACTTTGATCAGTAAAGCAATCAGAATGGCTTTCAGGTCATGCCTGCAAACTTGGTTTGCCCATTTTCTGTAAGCTTCTTGATTTTGTCCTCTAATTCAGGGAACTACAGCAAGGTGTATTTCTAATAGGCATTTAGCAAATAAAAGTCTCTTTCTGCAATAATTAAATGAGATAAAAGTTGAATATATTTTCACATATTTCAAAAATACTCCAAAAGAGCAGATAAGACTCATAAATCTTGTGCAGCCAAGGTAAATGTTCACCTGTGGTCTAAACTCTAGATTCTAATTGAATTCTTGTGTATGCATATACTTTGTCTATGATTGAAGGTGGAGATCATGAACAAAACCTCTTGTTTAAAAGAAAAATTCTCTAACATCAGCAGCTGACCCAAAGGCTACTGAGTAACTAGGTAGAGTATTTAATACTCAAAATTGAGTTATGACCATAGACTTGTACAGTCTTAAGTGCTAACGATGTTTTTCTGTTGTCTTCTTGTTCAGTCTGAATAACTTAAAGAGATCTGTCTGCAGGAATGTCTTAGAAAACAAGTGTGCTGAAAAATTCCTGCTGCAAAAAAGTCAGTTGATATCTGGAGAATTTCAGAGCTCTCTAAGTACCTTCAGGCTCTCTGTTTGCCCAAAGCCATTTACAGTTTTTTCTCCCTCTCTTGTATTTTTTTTTTAAATGGTGTGAGTCCTTTCTTTTGAGACTTCCTTTTTCCTGCATGAAGGACTAATAGTGGAACCTAACCACAGGGAAACTGTTAAAACTGACAAAGTTACCAACAAAAATCACTTGCATTGGTGTTAATCTTCAAGGTGCTTTATGTTAGGAAAAAAGATACAATTAAAAGTGCTGTTTAAAAGTCATGGTAGCAAACACTGATATTGAAATTTATCTTGTCATGGCTTATTTAAATGAAAAACTCACCTTTTTCCTTCTCCAGGTTCAGCTGCACATACAAGAAGACAGAAAGAACAAGCGCCAGTCCCCCATCCCCCATTTACTTTTTAGGCGTGCATTCTGGTAATTTAAAGTAAATAGATTGAGTAATACCACAATTAACAAGGCAGGGCTACTGTTCATATTCAGGTTAAACACAACCACTTTTACATTAGCTTATATATGTTTTTGGAACTATGTGTTTGTTCAGTAGCATCTGTTATTTTGTTATAATTGATCTCTATGGCAACTAGAAAAAGTTAAAATGCTGTCTGAGAAGATTGAAAATGTACAGATTGTAAAGATTTTATATAAACTGTAAGATTTTGGTTCAATATTTATAATAGAAAAAAAATTAAAATTGGATTTCGTGCCTCTGACTTTATATCTGAGAAATCTATTCAACCAATATTCACCTTTCTTGACTGTCACCTGAGCCCTTTCTACAGGATTAACCAAGTACCAGAGTATCTAGTCCAGATTCACCTTCTACAAACCTTGGAACATTGCCAGAGAAAACTTAGGAAGCTAGGTATTTGCAGATAATTCTTTTGGTATTTTAGTGGTTGACACAGTACAGACACTGTTTTGGTACTCACTATTTCAAGTATTAGAAAGCATCAGTCTTTATTATCACTCACTTTATTATCTCTCACTTCTGTTGAGAATGCTAATTTTGAACAGATTTCACACCACGAAAGCCAAGTTTAAGGAAGGCTTCTGTTGTGTCTGCTAATGCTGCCTATTCCACAAGGCAGCGCTGTAGCACTCTAAAGACTTGCTATTCTTTACCTTGTAGTAAAACATCTTATCTTAAATGTGTGGGATAACAAACATTCGTTCAGTTATCTTCAATCCTATGAGGGATGTGAGGGAAGGGGAGAAGTGCAACTCCTATATATATGGGTAAATCTGCTCTACAGTCTTGCACATACAAAACAAGTTGGGGTTTTCTTCATAATTACAGAAACTAAAAAAAAACAACTTCAGAAGTAATTGATGAATATTTCCTTAGTTTACGTAAAGACAAAAGTAATGATCATATAGACCACATAGATATAGATCATGTATTTTTAGTTTTTACTAAGATAAAATTTAACTGAGATTCCTTAGTAATCCCAGACAATGTGATATAACCTGTGATATAACTTGTGATATAACCTGCCTGTTAAACTTGTCCTACATAGTTATCTACAGCCTTCTCCATTTTGGTCAATATATACCTGTTATTTTTCATTACCATAAAAAGAAAGTTTCATTACTCTTGTAAATCACCAGCAGAAATTCTTCCTTACAAACACAGGTGGAACATAAGATCGTGGATCCAAATCACGCTACACAGATGATGCATCTAACTTCAAATACAGTGCTTTATTCCTCAGTGTTTACAGCTGTTAACAAAAGTGTCTCTCTCAATTCCTGAAAAAAATCCCCAATCCATTTTTCAGGTCTTGAACAAGACAATGTTCATCTAGGTATTCACTAAGTGTGACTAAACACAAAAATACTCACAAACATATATATGAAAATCTTTTACTCACAACGGAATTTTTGAAAATACTTTTTTCCAAGACAAACAAAACTTGAGGTTGAAATCAATTATTCTCATGGTGTTATTGCATCATTTGATAAACTAAAAGCATACATTCCGACAAAAGAGGACAGCAAAGGATACCTCTGAAATGTGGTGGTGCTTACTTTAGTTTTCAACTCCTGACTTCAAATTTTAAATTCTTTAAGAAAAACTGAAATTTTCTAAGAAAAAAAATCTTAATCCTATTTAAATGTCCATCTTTTACATGGTTTACACACATATAATTGAAATATGATATTGAAATAATTTAACTGTTAGAATTCAAATGGGTATGGACCTGGTTCACTCGATGATTTACTTCATTCAGAACTGTCCTGCCTACTACAAACAAGATGAACTGATGAGTGTAAAAATACCAACGCACATGCACATCCACATTTACAACAATTCAGCTAAACTGGTGCACCTTTGCATCCTAAGACTAATGAAATCTTTAAGCAGAGATAAGTAGTTTGATTTTCCTTGTGTATTTCCCTGGTGAAGCAACATGCTTGACTGTTGATTACTTGTAACAAAAAGTAACATTGGGATGAGCAAACAGAATTTTCTCTTAAGGCTTTGGTTGTTAAAAACTACTATCCGTTCTTTTGCTGACCAGTACTTCAAGGCCAGCAGTCTCACTTGGTATGTCATCAGTTTCTGAGCTATTCCAGAGTATTAAGCAAAAACCATGCTCAAAATCAAGAGAACCAGTACTATGTTCCCATGTGACCCATGAGGGTCGCCCCATAAAAACTGCAGAGGCTGCCAAGGGCTTTAGGCCACAGAGGAGCACAGGAAAAAAAACCGGCAAAGGAACTATATTGCTAGCAGTTGGGTGACATTTAGCCATTATTGCAAAAGTTCACATCCAAGCTAACATGTTCAAGCCAGGAAAACTCCTGCCTCTTTTTGTCAGGCACCTGCTGTAACCCTAAAGCCTGGGTAAGGTCATATCTATCACATTAGAAGCAGCATTCTCAGGCAAACTATGATCAGAGAGGACATAACAGGCAAAAAACTTTGGAAGGTTATCTGAATTAAAATTTCAAATTAAAAAGTTGGTGATGGCTAGTTAATAAAAACTACACAGGCTTTTGAAAGAGATAATAATTTGATTTTGAACAGAGCTTTACATTCATGCATAAAGCCGGCAATGAAACAGGACATGATGCATGTGTTTATGAAGGTAAAAAAAAAAATATCTTTAAAGCATACCAATGGACTCCAATAGGAAATTTGTGCAAAAAGAACTTGTAACTGTGAAACATAAACCCAAAATCAAATCCTAAAGTTCAAGCTGCAGTTAAGCCTATAGCTACAAGTGCTTCAAGGCTGCCACATTATTTAATCAACAGATACCCCCAGGCTTATCAGATGCCTTTCTGAATCTCTGTGTAGTAAACTGACCCTGATAAATATTGTCATGAGTATGTACTCAGGCATCATCCCCCTGTTCAACCTCTGTTGTCAGGAGAGGCCTCACAGCAGGGGAGGAGATCTAAAAGTCACTGGACAGCAGAAACTGTCTTCTTTAAGTGACAGCTCTAAATTTCTGTCTACATATATTTACAGCCATAACTGTGTGACAGCTAACTCCTTCTAGAGTAACACTGAGGGAGAAGGCACCCATACCGTATCAAGACAGAGATTCTTTCAGATTGGCAGAGTGAGAGAGAGAAATCACTGAGGAAGGCCGACTGCTGTATGAGATGTCTTATTAACTGGGCAGTTTGTGACTCCCAAACACAGAGCAGACAGGGGAGGAAAAAAAAAAAAAAAAGATGGGAGAAGAAGAAATGGTATGTTTTTTCTTAAGAAGCTCAGCTTATTCAAACTTTATGTCTCAAGGCTGATTCAGAAGGATATATACATGAATTCTTACCACACATGATGGCTGCAGGTTTTCTGCCCAATCTGGTCTTAAAATACTTTCATGAAATGCCAATAAAATGGAATAAGACCCTATCAAAACTCACCATGATTCTGAGTTTACAGTACATGTTCAGACCTTCAAATAGTCTCTAATACATTATGACCATAAAAAACAATCTGATTTTATTAGTTTCTGTAAGAGTATTAATTCAGAATGTTAATTTAATGTGAAGTTCTGGAAGAATAATCCAATCTAACTGAATAATTTTGACCAAAGCCTTAAGGATTTCAACATTTGAAATTAAAATTCACTTGCATGTCCCACATGAAAACTAGATGCAGAGAAAAAGCCTGAAAGCATTCTAGAGTCTTTTAAAAGTGGTTTCATCTGGTTCTTAGGCCTTTTTTGTTTTTTTTTTTACACAGCATTTTGGAGCAGGGGAGTAGATATGCAACATGCAATAACTAGAGAAGTCTGAACATTAGTATATTTTTGTTTGTTTAGAAAGGGTTTTATTCAGTTTTCTGAGGCTTATTTTAAATAAAATGACATAAAAAACACCATATAAGCAATATGAAAAACAAGGACTTTAGTCATCACATTTTAGTATAAAAGCTCTGTGAACTAAAAGGACTCAATGAGAACATCAGTTGGTCTAATGCAATGATTCATATGGTCATACTTAATTCTAACCTAAGCCCAAATCAACATACCTAATGTCTAATACCAGTAAACACCACCACTATATTTTGCCAGTTATTCTGTTAAGATTTACAGTACTTTAGTATCTTCGGTATCCTCCTCTTCCACCATATGGATCACTATAGCCTCCCCTGCCACCATAACCTCCCCTGCCACCTTGGAAGCCACCTCCACCTTGGAAGCCACCTCCACCGTGGAAGCCACCTCCACCCTGGAAGCCACCTCCACCCTGGAAGCCACCTCCACCCTGGAAGCCACCTCCACCTTGGAAGCCACCTCCACCCTGGAAGCCACCTCCACCCTGGAAGCCACCTCCACCCTGGAAGCCACCTCCACCTCTCCCACCACCTCTGAAACCTCCACCTCCTCCTCCTCTACCCCCTCCACCCCCCCAGTTGCCCCTTCCACCACCACCACCACCTCCCCAGCCACCTCTTCCACCACCTTCTTGTCTTTTTTGCCACGGAGGCATTTCAGGAGGAGGTGGTTCAATCTCTGTTGGTCTGCCTCCACGATCCGGTACTCTCCCCATCAGAACCTATATGGAAAAATAGGTCATTTTGAGTTAAAAAATAGTATTAATAACTTGAAGAGACATAGGATTCTTCTGCTATGGACAGAAAACCACTTCCAGCTCTTTTAAGGAAATATGGCCCCTCAGTGAGATGCCTGACAGCAGAATCACTATTCCCTGTCCTTGTAACACCACAACAAAGCTTTGAAAGTGTTCTCATTTTCCACCTATAAACAACGTAACAGCTAGCTAGCTCATATTATTTTTGTGACATTTTTATGAAGAACACTACACACACGTGAAGTATTAGTATTGCAATAAGCAATGTACATCATTCATATATAATACCTATGAATACCCAAACATATATATATATCTAAAAAAGATTACTTATGATGTGGCTCTGCTGCTTAACTCTCAAAGTTCAAGTTCAAACCTAATCAGCTGGCAAAAAACAGACTGTCAAACTAATGTGCAACTCTCAAAGGAGTGGGTATTAGCATGAAATAAGAGAGACTGTACTGGACAAAGTTACATGAAATGTTAAGTTGAAAAACAAAGAGGTATCTGAGTAGGGGTTTTTGTTGTTGTTTTCATATTTCCTAAACTCTGTGTGATTAATGTTAACATTCTCTGGTCAGTCCCAGGCACTCAAACTAAAGTCCTCTCAAGAAAAAAAACAACTTTCTCTGAGATCCTAAAATAGTTAAGAAATTTCAGTGTCTTTCGGATCAAAACATATTAAAGGGTATCTAAATGAGGCAGAAAACTTAAGAAAAATCTGTAAATACAGGATTAATAAAGCAGGTTTAGTCATCTTTTGAATGTCATTGCTTGCAAGCTTCAGCTTTTATCACACACAAGAAAGGAGTACCATGTTGATTTATTACTGTAGCCAAACCAAATAATTTTATTTTGCAGGAAAATGACATTTCTACCAAAGTTTTTGTGATTTATAATACACTGATGAACTGAGAATGCTGGTTTACAAACCAAACAACACAGTCCTGGCAACAGGTAGCCCAGGAACTGAGACCAGAAATACTTACACATACCCTTAAACTTGAGGGTGCAGTTCCACTGAACTCAGGAGGTCATTTACAAACAACTCCCCCTGCACATGTGCACACATGAACACCCCCACCACTGTTCCTTCTCATCCACACCACTGTTTCATCCTGTTGCATGACTGACTGTGTAGCAAGATAAAAAAAAGAAGTTGCTGCAACGTTCACTGGAATACTGCAAACCTTCTTAACTGGAAAAAATGATATGAAAATGCTAAGCAAAGAATATAGTTCCGGAATTACTTTTGATAGGTCTGTAAACTCCCATGTCCTTTTATCACATCCCAGAAACAAAAAGTATACCTTGTTGATAGCACAGACGGTATTTTCCCGTGTTGAACCACTACTTGTTCTTATGATCTTGGATAAATCTTCTCGAGCAGCAAGCAGGTGAGCTAATGTAATAGTTGACTTTGGAGATAATGCATAGCGCTTGGGCTGATAGATACGTGCTATTTCATCTGTTTTTACCTAAATGATAAAATCAAACACAACTTACTTGCTATCCATAAAACACACCAATTTACTGTAAACCATGTACTGCTCTCAGTAAGTTTCAATCTGAACATGAGGTATAGCTTTTGTAAATATAAGATTATCTTACAAAATACAGTACCAGTTATTACCAATTCTCTTCATATTGGTGGAGCTATTAGACAAAAAGTACTGCTGATTATGTATAATTGATGCTGAAACTTAGCATCATTATAAGAGAAACTCCTCTGTCCACTGGTATAAAACAGATACTTTAATGTCTTCCAATATGTCTACAGATTAAAACTTAAGAGTCCACACTGCTCTCTCAAGAGCTTTACATAACCGTATTTAAGAGATTACTTCTAAATGTGATGTTAAGAGCATAGCTTCAAAGTAAGGTAAATTTGTGGAAAATGTATTAATGCAGCAAAATACTTGTGCAAGCCATGAAAAAGTGAGACCGAGAAGGGCAGAAAATAAGATTTTTCAGGCATACTTTGATGTTTCATTTGTTTAGCGAAAAAGAAAAATAAATACACTTTCTGGGAACATCTAGAATAATCTTCAGAGCAAAAAAACAATTTGATCTTGGCTAGACCAGACAACAGGTGCTGTTCCTTTGACTTGACTGTTTTGCTAGGTAATTACCGCACCATTTATGGACTCATTTCAGTCTGCAAACTTACCCCTCTTGGGGACTGAACAAGTTAAAAAAATAAAGACTAAAAATGCCACACCATCCAAATCAGAGAAACGTATCAATACCTATTTAGAGGTGGGGAAAATGGCAAGCTAATAAATAAATTAAAAAAGACAACAATTTGCCTCTTGGCTTAAAAAAAATAAATCAAAAGTATATCAATGCCAAAACATATTCCATCCCCAAAACTGTCTTGAAGAAGTCATGAACAAATATTCCTGCAACATGAATAGGGGAAAAAAAAAGATTAAAAATAATATGTAATTTTGAATTAATATGTAACCTTTTTATTTCTGTAACTGCACATATTTCACATCAATAGTCTTAAAAAGACAGAAAAATGAATAATCTGACTACTTTATCATCATTAAAAAGCTCGTTAAACTATTTTTCTATTGCAAAAGTGCATTCATTGTTTTTCACATTGTTTGAATGGAACAATAGCAAGTGACTCAAGTTTTAGTCTGCTTAAGTTAGTCATCAGTTAACATCACCTATATTTTAGAAGTATCCTTTACATTTGAAGATATATAATTGTCTTGGTACAGCTGTAAGGAAGTTATGCACGTAGGAATGACTCCTGGCTTCTGTGAACTAAATGCCCCCCTCTTCCTTTCTTGCAGCATAAAAGCATTCACAACCCTGTCAGAAAATACATAGTGAGCCATTCCAAAAAAGCACAGCAGCATCTAGACTCAGTCTAGACTCATCTAGACTTTAGTATGCATGTGTCAATGACAAATTGTAACTCCACGAAGACTTGTAACAATCCATACTTTCAGTAAGCTTTTCAAGTTTTAAGGTTTAACCACCTTAAGCATTCTACCTTTGGAAGGAAAGCTGATCTTGCAGCTCATGAGCAAAAACATCTGTCTCCAGCTTCTCATATGTATATTCATCAAATTACAAACCTGGTGTATCTTATCTCTCCATTCTTTTGGAGAGAAACAAGATCTATTTCTAGATCAGAAATATCAGACTATCATGACTATTTTTTAATATACAGTTTTAGGAAATAGTACAAATGAAATTATCACAATTAAAATGATACCAGCAGGGCAAATCCAGGGAGCGTTTTGGAATTTTTAGCGACCTGAAAGATTAAAGTAATTGTGTGATTGTCTCACACAAGCTGCTATTCAAACAACCTGTTCAACCAACCAGCTGTTCACTTAGTAGCACTGAATGCAAGATAGGCAGCAGTTACTGTAATTTCAGTGACTTTATGAGCAGTCACTTTTTGCACCCGATCTCTGTTAAGGCCCAGTGTTTATCTTCCTTTTGCATCTGCATGAGAAATGCTGAGGTTCCCTCCTAATTTACATGACAGGAGGGGGTTAGATATAGAAAAGAAAAAAGGGAGATTCAAACTTATTAAAGTGAGAAACCCCAACAGAGGATGCTAGAATTTCTAACTGTGCAGCTATAAGCAGTCAAAGAGGATGGACTGTACCATCTGATTAAATCCTTCCCCTTCCTCAATACCTAGGATTTGAATATTACAACCCAAGATGAGAGGTTGGAAAAAAGACAACAGTAATGAAGTGTATTTACATGGTATGCATATTCTGTAGGAAGACCAGGGAACTGTAGGCAACTCCCACCCACAGGAAGCGAAGACAACTTTAAGTTTACCTTTGCTCTATCAGACCAGCCAAAAGATTGCACAGTCACATCGAGCCTCTTCATTAACATGCGTCGTCGACATTCGTACTCACTCCGAAGAGCATCATTGATTTTTTCCAATCTTTTCTGCAGTGTTACAATAAAAAAAGTCAAACACTCAAATATATATATAAAGTTATAGAAGTCAATTCAAAGTTAACCCCATTCATCAACTAAGATGTTTATTCCTAGGTGACCACTATAAACTACGTAGCATCTATATAATCCAACAGTAGTATGTATATAGAAAACGTTTTGAAAGTTAATAATGGATGAATCAACACAAGGTCTGTTTTATAATGTTAATTCTGGAAGTATTTGATTATCATAGTTAATACTTAGCAATTGAATTTTAATACTTAGCAACAGAACAGTGACTGCAAAATAGGCAAAGTTAAATGAAGCTGTATGCATTAATTTTGAACATCCTGTTAAATACTGAAAATAAATGGAGAAACTTTTCTTTACCACTTGGTCAGAATTCAGAGGTTTTGTTAGCAGTGATTTCCCCACATGTTTGTTTTGAACTTTTGCGAGAATGTCCTTTATCTGAAACAAAACACATGCATCTCAGAACACAAATGATATTTAGATTTATTTCAGCCCAATTCTTCACAATCACATTTTGCTACTCGTAAGATCAAACACAGCAAATCTGTTTTAGCAGACTCACAAAAGCAGGTACATATCTTCTGGCTTATGATCCATTACAAAAAGATTTCCTGAATACTTGCATAAAATGACCAGCCTCTACACAAAAATATTTTATGTCATGTTGCTTCTCCTGATAATAGAACAAAGCTATACAGCAAATTTATCAAATGGATATAGAAAGTAGGACTAGTTAAATTACTCATTTTACACAGTACCAATGTTCTAACTACAACAACTGGAAGCTAGCAGTTCTGTTGCAAAATGCTAGATGGGGCTACAAAATCTGGTGATGGGTGCTAGTAAGAAAGGCAGTAGAGATGATATGTATGCAATCATTCTCTCTCAAATTTTGCTCTAATCCTATAATTGGCTGCAGCTAACATTATGTTTAAGACTTTTGCATTCACTCCAAATCAACCTTGCTTATACTTCTTCCATTAGCTCTTGCCCTCAGCAATCCCATCCAGAATGCTCTCTCTGCCGCCCAAACACAACTGCATTCTCCTCTCTCATTACAAGAAACATCTACCTCCTCTTCTTGAGTGAACTTCCTTTGGCACAGCTCTTCTAAAACCATTACCAAAAATGCCTGCAACACTTGTACGTATCTTGCCAGCCAATTGATTTTTCAGCTGGAGTAGACTGCATGCATAATACTGTTCCTGCAAGTTTCGTACACAGTCTGATGGGGAGAACTACATCTTCATTTGTTTTAGTAAACAGAATCATAGAATAGAATCATAGAATCAACTGTGTTGGAAAAGACCTCTGAGATCATCAAGTCCAACCCTTGATCCAACACCGCTGTGGTTACTAGACCATGGCACTAAATGCCACATCCACTCTCATCTTAAAAACCTCCAGGGATGGAGAATCCACCACCTCCGTGGGCAGCCCATTCGAATACCTGATTACTCTCTCTGTAAAATATTTCTTCCTAATATCCAACCTAAACCTCCCCTGGCACAGCTTAAGACCGTGCCCTCTTGTCCTACTGCTGGTTGTCTGGGAGAAGAGACCAACCCCCACCTGGCTACAACCTCCTGGCAGGGAGTTGTAGAGAGTGATGAGGTCTCCCCTGAGACTCCTCTTCTCCAGGCTGAACAACCACAGCTCCCTCAGTCTCTCCTCATAGGACTTGTGCTCCAGTCCAGCCTTGTTGCTCTTCTCTGGACCTGCTCCAGCACCTCAATGTCCTTCCTGAAGGGCCCAGAACTGGACACAGTACTTGAGGCGTGGCCTCAGCAGCCCTGAGTACAGGGGAAGAATCACTTCCCTGCTCCTGCTGGCCACACTGTTCCTGATCCAGGCCAGGATGCCATTGGCCTTCTTGGCCACCTGGGCACACTCTGGCTCATGTTCAGCTTCCTGTCAATCCAAACTCCCAGGTCCCTTTGTGCCTGGCTGCTCTCCAGCCCCTCTGTGCCCAGCCTGTAGCGCTGCAGGGGGTTGTTGTGGCCAAAGTGGAGGACCCGGCACTTGGCCTTGTTGAACCTCATCCCCTTGAAATCAGACCATCTCTCCAGCTTGTCCAGGTCCCTCTGAAGAGCCCTCCTGCCTTCCAGCAGATCAACACTCCCCCTCAACTTGGTGTCATCTTGCAAATTTGCTAATGGTGGACTCAATCACCTCATCCAGATCATCAGTAAAGATATTAAATAGAACTGGGCCCAACACTGATCCCTGGGGGACACCACTGGTGACTGGCCACCAACTGGATGCAGCACCGTTCACCACCACCCTCTGAGCCCGGCCCTCCAGCCAGTTCCTAACCCAGCACAGAGTGCCCCTGCCCAAGTTGCGGGCTGTCAGCTTTTTCAGGAGTATGCTGTGGGTGAAAAATTATTATGGGGAACCAAGTAAAACAAGACTAAAACTAGTGTTAATTTTCTTTTATATGTCAAAGGAAGGATTAAGGTAGTGCATGATCTACAGTAAAACCTGTAGCTTGGGAGAGCCATTAGATACATCTGCAAGAATTATAAGACTTCATGTAGGCACACAGGGATTTACATTACATTTATCATAAAGGTATGGTTCAAAGCTCAGTTTTGAGCTCCATATACTACAGAAATATCATCCCCACTGATTGCTAAACTAAGGTGTACATATTTTGTTATTTTACATCACCTCTGGGCAGCACTGACAAGTTAAAAACACAATACCCCAGGAAAAAATATTGTGCAGTGAGCAAATTATGGCAAAACAGTATTTTGACTCCAGCAGAAAAGATGGCTTAGTAGTATCTGAAAAGCAGCCATCTAATTATTGTAATATTCCCTGCTGTTATATTCCATTTGTATAAAAAACCACATTAAAATAAGAGGTAAAGTTCAGTTCCATTTACCCTACTGATGCCCAATACTCCTCTTTCTCTGATAATTTTTGCTTCCCTACAACCTTTATTTTCTTTACAAAAAGCACTCCAGGGTTGTCTGTCCATCTCTTAAATGTAGCCAACTTTTTTTTGATTTTGCTGAAGCATGTACATGGTGCCTCTCATATTCCACTCCAAAATTCAAATGCACCTAAGTGCAGACCATTTTTGAATTTATACAAATGTCTGAAGAATCAAAATCTAAAGTTAATAATCAACAATAAAACAAGATCAGTATGACAGCAAGAGATGAAGAAATCAGTAATGAGTATAGAAGAAGGAATGAACAGCAGATGAATTAAAAATTCTACTGGGTAAGAAGTGTCTATCCATGTACGATTAAGGTCAGAAATATAACCTCAGAAGTTCTAATGAGCTGAAAAGAAGAGAGTCTTATCAACATGAGACTGGCTGCTGGAACAAAAAACCAACACAACAAAACAAAAACAAATCCTCAATGTAATTTGCAGCTAGAATGTAAAAAAGATCTGAAGACCAGTGATGCTGAATATTATCTAAAGATTAGAACTACTGCAAGTCACTGAGCTCCACATACAAAAGTCATACATTGTGCCATCACAAATCTATCAGCACTGCATACTCCTGATTCCTATAGACTGAAAAATTAAAGGAAGTTTAGAAAGAACAATTAAGGAAGATAATAAATGGAAATTGGAAGTAAAAGAAACAAGACCAGCTAAATAAAACAATCCTTTATTGACTGAGAACTACCCCCAAATTTCTGCAACCTCTTCTTTTCAAGTTAAAGAGAATACCTATGTAATTTTTATCCAGTACTGGTTTACTAATCAAGGAGGAGTTAAGGAAGAATCTTTTCACTGGTGAACTTGTCCATGTTTGTGACACACTGTAAAATCATACCCAGATTACTGAACCTCCACTTTACTCCTCACTCCCACCAGCAGCCTCATGGGGAAATCCTATTACTATAACAGTGAAATAAGCTGAGCTGCCTTACAGCTGCAGAATACATTGTCCAGCCTTGACTGGTGACAGAGCTATGAGCACAAGGACTTTGACATACACTTGTCTGCCAGAGGACAAGAATACAATAAATATGAGAATCTACGCTATAAACCACATTCCCAAACATGACAGTTGCCCTAGATTAAGAAGGATAAGCGTGAGTTTAAAAAAACCCACCACTTTACCAAAAGCAGTGCCCAGATAAAAGAGCAGTGAAAAAATACTCAAAGAAATGCAAAACAAATTGTCACAGCCAAAGCATCCTCAAGTTTTCACACATTCAGCTGTAAAAAAGCAAACCAAATAATTAAAACTAGATGGAGATGAGTATACTTGACTATTCGACATACTGTGTAATCAATGACCTTGGAAACACTAAATATTTATGAAATTGCTTTGGAAGTTCACACACTCTCTAAAAATTGAATGAAAACAAATCAGCTGTTGGATCTGTTTGAGACAAAAATACCAACTTCAAAATCTGCTATATAAAAATACACAGTTATTCTACTGTTATCAAAAAAAGCATATCTTTATGTATTGAACATGACATTTTTCACTTGTTTGTAATTTTGTACTCCTTTAAAAGCATTTAGCTCACATTTAATTATCATGTTCAATATATTTATTAATTATCATTATCCACTGTCAAAACACAGCAGTAATTTTTGTTTAACACCTTTTGCACAGATAATCATATATACCTGCACCTCCAGGGTTTCTAAGATTTTGAAAAATCCTGACCTGGGGAGAGGTATAATTTTATTAGTTTAAGTTAAACTATTAACATTTTAAGGAAAGAATATTGTCCTAATTAGTCATAAGGTGTACTGCACAATTGCAGGAAGATCCCCTAAAATCACTCCACTGTACAGGCATCATTACAGCTGTAAAATTACTACACACCAACAGTTAAAAGCAACATATTAATTTAAATATTAACAAATTCTAGGAAATGTACCCAAATATTTTAAAAAGCATTCTTCTCATACTTCACTTAAATGTTATTTTAGCTTAGTTTTGATTTAGTTTCTTTGGTAATATTTTATAGTTTCTTTTCATTCTCTACTGATATGTAAAAATAGGGAACTACTTTTCACATATCAGAATGCAAATTACTTGGGCAAAAAAATTTTAGAAGTCATTTGAATAGTATAACTTAAGACATTTTTCAACTAAACAGTATTCCAATGTAACTTTGTAATTAGGTGTAAAATTCACACTATCTTGACTGGAAAAAAGCCAGATGTGAGCATGAGTAAAAAGCACAACATTGGCATAAACTTTTCTGAATCTTTAATCAGATTCAGAATCTTTAGAATTTATGGGGCTTTTGGCACTAAATTTCAGAATGACTCCTAGAGTTGCCCTTTACAAACACACTTTAAAAGGGAACAACACCTTAAAAAACTAAAAAATTGCTATTAGTTTTTCATTACTATACAATAAAATAAAATATATTTAGTGGTAGAAGGCTGTAATACTGTCAATTTCTCTCTCACATTTTCCTATGTCTGTTGATAATCACTATCCCAGTTAATGACAGGAGATGCAGAAGATATTAGTTATGATTGTATATTCAAAGTTGGAGCTACTACAAAACTCAGTTTGAATGAAGAAAGCAATTCTCATTTTATACTAGTCTTTTAAATAAACTAAAAATTATTTAAAACAATCAGTGTTCTAACGTTCCATACCAAAACACAATGTGTGATCTGTCCCTTTGGTAGATTGCTGCTGCACAGCCAAACTACGCTCAGAACTACTCCCACAGCTACTGAGAATGCTGAAGATGCTAGACAGAGACAAAGAGTAGACATGTTGAAATGCTACAGATACAATAAATACATACACTAGATCAGTATGTAAGTTTCTATTAGGAGTGATATAATACTAAAAATCAACAGTGCAACTTTACGCAGAATCTAATTAAATCAAAAGGCACAAAATATTTGCAAAAATATTTTGCAATCATTTCATGTGAATTTTTGTGAGAATATTAAAAAAGGTAACAAAGGTGCTCAAAAAAATGTTTACAAAGCCAATGAACTTTAAATGGTGGTATTACCTTTCTAATGCAGCTATACGTATAAATGTAGGTCTCTAATTCTATAATGTATCAAAATAACTCTGAACCTGTCCTATATTAAAGTAATAGGAGAAGGACAAGTGAACAGATAGTGGAAATTCTACAAAATCTAAGAGGTAGGAAAAAATCCTTTGTTTATAAGGGATGAAACATGCAGAGAAAAATTTACACTATTAATTTAGAGGCACAGAAGATGAACAAACTACTTTTGCTGCATTTCTAGACTCTGAAGTGAGAACAAGTGGTATAACCACTATGGAACTGACAGACCTTAAAACTACTGGAAAATAGCCCAGACAGTACTATTTAAAAAAATAAAATTAAAAAAGATAACATGCTTTAAAGATTCTGTTCACTTCAGTACTTCTGAAACCATAACAGTTTACACAAACTGTGACAGTAACACTACACACACAGTTGAAGCCTGTGGTCTTATCTGATACGAAATCTCAGACTTTGCAAAAGGTGGCAGATACCAGGTGTCTAATAATTCAAATAAAATCTTCTAGAATCACTACCTGTGTATGAATGAACTGGTGCACCAGGTCTGGTCTTGCTGTCCCACAACTGCAGAACTAGAGTTGTATCCCCATAATGGGATGAAAGTAAATCTGTACCTGACAAGTGAAGCAAGGAAGGCCACTGGCCATGGCTGCAGCATACAACACAGGAATGTAAACACAGGTAACACCCACGGAGGGAGATCAGCAGTAGCAGGCCAGTTTAAATCAATTAGTTATTAGCTGTAACTCAGACACTTTAATTCTCAGAAAACAGTGCTAGAATTGTTTCTTCATCCTTTCAAAAACACATAACAGAAAGACTAAAGATTTCCTTAGAACTAAAAGATCAAGCAAAGTTAATAGTGCAGGAATAGGCATTTTCATTGTCACCTTAATTTTTATAAATCAAAGGTTTTGCCTTGTCAGGCTAAAGACATACAGATGTAACAAAACCATGTAACAGGCCCTCTCCCCAAAATCTCTGAATGTTCAACTGCTCACTGGTTGATGAGGAGAAAGTTAAAAAGAATAATCATGTAAAATCATGTAAAAAGATTTCAGAAGCATGTAAAGGTATGTAAAAAGACTCAGAAGCAGAGGGAGTTTCATTCCCCTCTTAAGGGGGGGTTGGTCACCTACTCTCTAAAGAGAGAAATAATACTAGAGAGAAATAAAAGCAAAACTTTCAGCTGTCTGACACAAAAGATAAATGCCACCTCAAGAGCCTATTTACATTCTGCAATAAGGAAATCAGACTAAAGATCATGACAGTGAAATGAATTAGAACCTGGAGGGACACTACACAAAGAACTATCCTGTTGAATAAGGTTTAAGGTGGCTGACTTTTAATATGGCTGACTACTGCCAATTCAGGCATTTTCATCCTCTTCTGCAACTAAAGCAATGGCACTAACAAATCAATACTTGCAATTAAGAAATTGACAAACTAAAAAGAACTAATTTAAATTTTGGATATTACATTTAAATACATGCCAGAAATAACTAGAGGTACATAAATGCACAATCAGTTATTACCCAAAATCTTCTGCTTGCTGCAGCACATTTGAATGGGTAAGAGGATATCTGATACCTTAAATTTGCATGGCAACGTATGTCTCATTAAGTAGATGGCAACCTCAGGGAAATGCTGAAATACTTCACCTCATAACTAAAATAGTTTAACTTAAAACACTAAGCTGGATTTCAGAATTAAAATTCCCTCACATTTGTCAGGTAGGGCTTTTACAGACAAGACTGCTGGGCCCTTAACTCTAGGATGAATGCTTACAGAGATAATGCTTATAGTTTAGCAATAGAGAGAACACATAAAAGCCCATACCTTTTGTTCCACATTGGTTAACAAGGGAGGAATACCAGAAGACGAGGAGTTTGGCAGACCCAGTGCATCGCAAATAGCTTGCACTTCCTGAATCATTTCACTGTGCTTTTCCAAATGAGAGCCTTTGATTTTCTTGCTGTGCAGTATCTTTAACGCCTGAAGTTCTGTACTTAGAAATACTACAGAGAAAAGTGTTATAATGGCAGATTTAGAGACATAAATAATTCTGCATCCACATTCACATATACACCTACAATATACACTTAAAAGACAACCATGATAGACGGAAGACTCTCAGTTCTCTTCTGGACAGGTCAGTATCAGTTTCCTACTCTTTACCTAAACTCCCTCTCACCTGACTTCCTACATTCAGTCCACAAATTGCATTTAACTGCTCAACTCACTTCCACCACCAGTTCCTTGGCTAGTTTCGTATTATCACACTGGTTCCTGCTGCCACTCCTTTGTCCAGTTTAAACTTTGACTTCGCTTCTCTCAATCCTGCTTTCACTACTTTCAAATCACACAGCATTTCTGTTCAAGCTGTGCAGAAACCTCTCAGAAAAGCAGGAAGCAAGGTCTCAGTTTAGGTGAACTGGAACTGGATCAAGAGAAGGATCAGGAGGCCTCAGTAGGTTGAACCATAGTTTGAAAACAAATTTTAGTTTGAAAACAAATTTTAGTTTCAGCTAAACCAGTTTTCTAACACTTATCTATTTTCCACTTCTGCACAAGTGAGCTGATGCGTGCTTAGCTGAGCTGTAATGATTGTACACATCAATTTAAAGACACATATAGAACTCTTCAATGTAAATCATACAGTAACAATAAGGTATGTACGTAAAATACTGTATTATAGATGGGAAAAATGGTAACTACTTACACAGGAGTTTAAGACAATCTTCTTTCCCTCTTAATCTGTCCTTGATGTCTCCAGATATAAGTGATGAATATGGACAAGCCATTTCTCTCAGAAAGCCACTCATCTCAAGCTGGAAGCTCTCTATATCTTTCATACCTATGGATATAAATGCAAAGTTTATGTCTTTTTACAAAAACATCAAACTGCAATCTAATTTTCTTAACTTATACACTTAAATTGCAGATTTCAACAGCCCAGACAAAGATTAACCACAAACCACACTAGTAACATTTTCTTTTTTTCTTGAAAAAGTCCTATGAGCAGACAAGCCTTACGATAGCGTATTGTACTCATGCTTTGAATGAGAAGGTGAATTCGTGTCTCTGAAGACACAAATGCAAACGAACATCCCAAGGAAGTGAACTGTTTATGTCACAAAATAGTGGTCAATGCAGTTAATTTTCTGATGAAGAAATTACAGGAGTCATGAGCCCACTATTTTCAGTTAGTTTTACTACTTTTTTGGTGAAAACATAAGTAATATGAAATCTCATCTAAATTCCAGCACTCAACAGAAATTATCAGGTAACGCTACTGAGCATCTCACATATCTACACACAGTGCTGAATGGAATGCTGCATTGGATCAACAAGATGAAAATACCATTTTAAGCCATAAAAATATGATTACATGGGTGAATTACTTTTTATATTTATGTAGACCAAAACCCATCCAAAATAACCTTCTTTTTTTCCTTTTGAAACAATCTTCACAACACAAGACCTTAATCTAAGAGGTACATACACAGAAATATCAGCCTCAGCTTGGCTATCTTTCAGTTATCTTGTAAACTTCAACACTGTAACTTCATTGTTAGCTGAACAATATGGGTCTAAATCCACTGAACAAATACAAAATTGCGTTACTAAATTTGCATTCTTATACCATCTCCTGAAGTGATGCTTTCTTCCATATTGCAAAGTGATTTTATTTGGGAACCTAACCAAACACAAAGCTCAAAAAATTCTGGTGAAGACAATCCATTTTCTGCTGCTTTGTTCAGTGCTTCCTCCTCCAACAGGGCACCTGTGTACCTGCACAGACAGATAAACATTAGCAATAAGAAGCAAGTTTAACATAAAATCTACATGTTTTTAAATTATTTTACTATAAGCTAGTTAGTAACTACACTCGAAGGAATTAATCCTTGGAAGTTACTTTTGTCAAGGAATAATTTAGACTTTTTTTTAAACACACCAAAAAATTATTGGTCATTTAGAAACAAAATAGTTTGTCAGAAAATAGGAGGCAGGCATTTTCACATGATACGTGAAAACAGACTTACAACTCTCAGTACATCCTTAATAGAGAACTTAAGTATTAATTCAAATGTTTGGTTAAATCTCCTTCTAATATTAGCAATTCACAGCCCCAGCAATAAGACAACTGAAAATTAAACTAAATTTTACACCGTTTCTGCTCCGTAGCATCCCAAGCACATCGCGGGAGGTCAACAGGTACCAAAGAGCGAGGTGCTGCCCGACCAGACGCCGCGGCCGCCGCTGTGTGACCGGCCCCCGGTGTGTGCCCCCGCACCCACGGCGCGGCCGCGCCCCTCTGCCCTCCCCCGTCACACCCAGGGCGAGCCCCCCGCACCCGCCGTGACCGCGCTACCGGGCGAGGCCCGAGGCCCAGCCCCACCGGGCCCACCCGGCACCGCCGCAACGCGGGGCCCGTCCCTCCGCCGACCCCTCGCTCCCCTCCTCTCGCCTCCACCCCCGCCCCCGGCCCGGCCTCCCGCCTGCGGCGGCGTTGCCCCGCTCCGCGCCCGGCCGGGTTTTCCCCGGCCCCCCGCAAGGGAAGCTGCCGCTGTTCCCCGGTTACCCCAGGGCCTCCAGCGCGTCCAAGATGTCGCTCTCCATCGCCGGGCCCGGCGGCAGCTCCCTCATGCCGGCGCCGAGCGGTGCGCGCCCCAAACCGGCCCTCCGCAACCCGCGCCCGCCAGCGCGTTCCGCTGCCGCAGCGCGGGAGCCCGGGCGGGGGAGGCCCCGGGCTGCCCCCGCCCCTCTGCCGGGCTGCCCCGCCCCTCTGCCGGGCTGCCCCGCCCCTCTGCCGGGCTGCCCCGCCCCTCTGCCGGGCCGCCCCCGCCCGCAGCTGCTGCGGAGCCGCCGAGGGCCGCCGCGCACGTGGCTGGGGATGAACCTTTCGTGGAGGCCAGAATGGCTCTGCCTTTCCTCCCGCACTGGGGCCCTCACCCTTCCCCCGGCGGGGCTCGTCTCCGGGCCCTGCGGCTGTGCCGCGGACGTGGCCTAAACCCTGCCCGGTGTATCGGCTCACCCGACATCTACCCGCTCCATTGGGCACCAGGCCCCTGAGAAATGCAGGACCAGGGGAGACCACTGCCACCGTTTGGGCCTCCGGACATGGCTCATGCCAGGGCAGCCAGCTCTGCAGCCCTTAGAACTGCCCCAAGCCACTCTAGGACATGGTTGAAAAAAGCGGGTTTTTAGGCCTGGACCTCAGCGGTATTTCTGGGATCTCTCAAATTGTGAAATTCTGCCTGAGACGGTGCAGACCTTGTCTCCAGAGCACCTGTAGTCCTGACTTTCCTCGATTCTGCTGTGCTGGTTTTGACTGGTATAGGGTTAATTTTCTTCCCAGTGACTGGTATGGGGCTGCGTTTTGGATTCATGCTGAAAACAGGGGTGATAATATAGAGATGTTTTTGTTATTGCTGAGCAGTTCTTACACAGAGCCAAGACCTTTTCTGCTTTTCATACTGCCCGATGTGTGAGGGGGCTGGGGATGCATGGGAAGCTGGGAGAGGGCATAGCTGACCACAGGGATATTCCATACTGTGTGGCCTCATGCTCAGTGTATAAAGCTGAGGAGAAAAAGGAGGAAGGGCAGTGATGGCATTTGTCTTCGGAAGTAACTGTTGCCTTTGGGGTGGCTAAACATGTGGCTGTCTGCCCATGGGAAGCAGTGAATTAATTCCTTGCTTTGCTTTGCTTGCATGCATGACTTCTGCTTTACCTATTAAACTGTCTTTATCTCAACCCACAGTTAAGTCAAAAGTTTTCTAGCTTTTATTCCTTACTTCTTAACCTTTGGGTGTTCTCAGTTTTACTTTTCAGATTCTCTCCCCAGTCCCACTGGTGGGGGAGCAAGTGAATGGCTGTGTGTTGCTTAGTTGCGGGGTGGGGTTAAACCATGACAGTCCTTTTGTTTTTTTTTACCGATGTTTTCCGACATGGGCCTTCAGAAAATCCAGCAGCTGAATCTGTGATGAAGACCCATAAAGACATATAATCAGATGGAAGTAATTACAACATAGATATTCTTAATGCGGGAAATCTCCACAATTTTTGAAGCAACTATTTTGAATTATTTCTCTTTAACAGAAGACATGGCTTTCTTGAGTGCTAAGCTTTAAAAAGTGGGAATCAGGACAACCACGACATCGTCCTGTTGCAGTTCGAGGGGTTTCTGGGGGGTCACTGCCGGCCACTCTGTGAAGGTTTTCAGGGCTGGAATCACCCCCCCACCGCCCCTCCCTCGTGGCAGGGACAGGCGGCGGAGGTACTTAAGCCAGGAGACAGAGACCACGCAGGGAATCCAGCAGCGAAGAAGAGCTTTATTCAAATTTCCTGCAGCTTATAAGGGCTGCTGGGCCAAAGAGGGGATTGGCCATTTGGCTAGCCAATGCAAGGAGACAATATAATAACTATGGCAACACAGAAACCAATGGTAGACAAATGAGTTAACAATTTCCAAACCCCGGCATCGTCCTACACCCACAGACGGGAATTTAGAAATTAAAAACATTGTTGATGGCAGTTAGTGGAAAGAAGAGCATCCTAAAGCCTGATACGCTTATGTTGACCATATGTGTACACTCGGTGGTCTCTTTCACAACTCTCAACTATCATGTACCATATGACTGAGCTTTAAAATGACTTTTGTTTCAAATGGGTTAACATGATAATTTCTGTAAATGAAGGAGTATGCATCTGAGAGCAGATTCTGAACATAAACTCTTTCTCCTTTTTAAACATTAACATCCAGCTAATAGAATGAGAAAACAAGATACACAGAAATAGACAGAAATAGCCAGTTCTCTTTGCTTTTGCTTTTCTTTTTTAAAGCTGTATCTCTATGTTACCCACAGTGAATCATCACTGTACAGTTGTTTTGTAGTTTTCATACCACCCAACAGTGCAGGCTAAGAAAAAGAACTGGGAACAACTAGAATTGAAAATAGCATAATCTATCAAAACTAGAAAGTAAACTGGTAATTTAAGAGATGCTTTCCCTGGGTCTCTCTGTACATTTTTCTACATGCCATAAAAGTATTTTGCTAATTTATGTTACAGGACAATACATAAACTAGTTATTTCTCCCACTCTCTTTTGATAATATTGCATATCTGTGATAGCCAAGGACATGCATCAGTCGCTGCTTTAATTGCACAAGATTTCTTTGAAAAATCATAACTTTTCTCTATAGTAGAAACATTATGAGGAAAAACAAGTTTGAATTTCACAAATTGTATATGAACACCCACAACTGAAAGACATTTTTGCTTGTGATCATATACTTAGGTTCTTCACACAGGTTTGCCATTCTTTCACTCCACAGCTTTCTCCATGTCCATTTCTGAGTTTCCCATCTGTGAGGGGAGAAAAAGAATCTTGATAAAGCTGGCTAAAAAACATTTTGTAACAATCTATGCCCATGGGAGTGGACTTTGCATTTGCCCCATGCCCTCTGCAGTATACAAACATGAACATAAAAACACAAACACACAAGCAAGAACATCGAAGGAAGAGATCTCAGCATACAGCCAATACTTTCAAACAAAAGGCGCATGGAGCTTGGGTTAGGTCATTGCCCTAGAGCTTTTCAGCTTTTGTCAGGAATTCTTTTTCAATAGTCTGCCCATTAGCCATCTCCCTCAGCAGTCAGATAACTCTTGGTACTAGCATAAGGAAGGAGTAGAGGTGCATAGCCAAGGTTAGAAAATGAAGATAGTGCTGGGATCAGCACTGACTCGAGTCAACTTGAACTGATACAAAATGGCAGCTGCAGCTGTCTGCACAGCGAGGTGAAGACAAGAATTTCAGGAACAGGTCTTTTGCCAATTCATATTAAATCTCTACAGTTACAAGTTGCCTGTAATCTTACTAAAAACCCAAACCCAATTTTCTATTGAGGTAGGTAAACCCCAACCACTTACCAAACTACTTGTATGAATATGACAAGTCACAAATGGTTATGCTGTTCAAAACTCCTTGAGCAGTGTTCCTTCTGCTAGGCTTGCAATGGGCACTGGGCATTCTCATACAGCCTAATGGCAAGAATGGGGTGGAAGGGTCCTGCTTATTCCTGCAGCAGACCTCTTGGTCTGCGCTGCCGGCAGAGGAGGCTGTGGGTTCTACGTGGTGGGTACAATCCGCCTGCTCCTAGTATGGAAAATAAAGCTGCCCACAGATGTGCTAGCTGCATGTTTCAAAAGATTCTTTGCTTTGTTCTTCTCATATGCAGCACAGGAATGAAAAATGAATGAAAAGTGAGTTAAATTCCTTGAATTCAAACAAGGAGAAGACAGACATTGCTTTAATGCAGAAGAGGTACAAATAATTTGTAGTACTAAGAAACAACTAGCAGACAATTAATTGACCACTAGGGGGGATCATAAGAGTGGAGAAGGAATGGATTGTGCGACACTTTCCTCTCACAGAAGCTCGCCTATGTGCGATGCTGTATTTTATGAGTACAGTTCAGAAATGATTGAGAAAAGACATCCCTTTGTGCATACTTAAGTTGATATAAGCAGCTGATATTGAGTTTTTAAAACAGATCAATAACAGGTTTAATTGTTACAATGAAGGAACTTCTTTACACAGATATTTTTTCATCAGTTTAAATTAGTATAGGATAAGTTCAGCTTCCATCATGAGCAAATGAAGTAGATGTGAATTATGTGATACTAACTTCACCAAACCTGATAAGTACAAGAATCCTTCCCATCAATTTACAGGCTACCCTACTGAAGTTGATGTCTCATCATAAACATTTGATTTAGAAATCACCCTTCTAACATCTTCCAGACCAAACCAAGCCACCTGAAGTAGTGACATCAAGTTTTCAATCCAAAATTAATTCCTTCAAGAAACTATGCACAGTGATAAGTTCTGCGGAATTCAAAGCTCAATTTCTTGACAATGGACTGCTCTCAAACTAATTCCTCAGGGCACATCTCTCTGCACAGGTGGTGGGGGAGAGGTCAGAACCAGGCAATCATCAATACCATGCACAGTGACTGGAACATACAGACTTGTACTCTTTTTCCGGTATTTGACTAAGAAGATGGTGGCTTTTCATTATCCTTGAGTTGGAATAAAATGAATAAGGCACAGTCTAGTTCTGAATGTTATAGACTTATTTGCACATAGTTGAAGTTACTGAAATTTTTGTCATTTACTTTAGAAGTAGTAGGTGTGGGGCCTAAATATTTCAGTGAGATGTGCTCGTACATTTTAGCATCACTAAATAAATATAAGTAATTTACTTTTGGTTTCTTCTAGTGGCATATTACAAGAGAAGTATTATGACTATTGAAAGAACCTAGATTTCTATTGCTTAAATGGAGTCTCACATTGAATATATTAATACACAACAATACAGAGCATTTAATACAGACAATACAGGCGTTGAACATAAGCAGTTTTACAAAAGGGAAAGCTGAGTGACTTGTGGAATTACCAGCACCTTTCACCTCTATCAGGGGACTTAGTTTAATTGTCTTCTCACTACCAAGGTAGTAACTACACTGTGAGGACTAATTACTTCTGAAGTTTCTTGGCTTTTTTTTAAAGAGAAAGTGAGAAGATAATTTAGCCTGTAGGTGCCCAGTGAACATTTCCTTGCAGAAGAGGCTGCAGAGTACTGGTCATAATTTCATAGACACTATTGCATTATGAATGAGTTTGAAGCCACAAACTAGTGCAACACATTAAGTGAGCAAAAAA